ATTTATTAATTATTAATTAATATATAATATAATTAGTTATTAATTATTTAATATAATTTTGTTGATAATCATTAATTATACTATGCTGATTCCCGCATAATCTAAAAGTTAAAGTTGTATTTAGGCTGCTTCTAATTTTGGCTATAGATTCTTTAAAAATCATTTTTTATGATTGTTATCAAACACCATTATCAACTTCTGATAGCTAGAGAAGTGATTTTAGGCTCCAAAAAGTACTACCAAACACACCCTTAATAAAGCAAAACCAACTGCTTAATTCATAATATAACCATAATTTTCTTAAAACAAATCCATCAAACCAAAATATTTAATTTAAAGTCCTTAATTCTTATAGATATAATTTTTTTTAAAGAAAATTGAAGGAACGTCAACTCATAACATGAGCTTCCGTCATCATTCGATATTGTCAAAAATATAATCTAACATGAGCAATCGAATTTTTAACAAAACCAACCAAAATCTCAGTTTTATTAAACTTTCTGTCATCGAAATAAACCATTTGTTATCAAACATAATAATAAAATTTCATACATACTTATAGATATTCAAATATCTACAAACATAGTTCTTTAACTATAAGAAAATCTACATATTTAACCAATCTTTAATGTCAAAGTATTAACTTCATATTTAATAGCACAAATGTTGATCACAAACAATCTTTTGTAAAAAGACTGCTTCGTCGACTCTTACGAAAATCTTTATACTATATTATAGGTAGATCGAAAAATTACGAGACCACAGCCCAATCAAAATAGACTCATAGAACTTTCTTTAGAGCTATTATATGTTAGGTTTTAGATTTATTAATGGCATGTTTACTTATCCGTAATCAGAGTGAACATGAATCAGAGTCAGGAATCGGAGTCAGAATAAGCTATTTACATAGGTTCTAGGAATTGGAGTCAGACTCAGTCCCAATCTCATTCATGCGTTTACTTACACCCAGAATCAGAATAAACTGTTATAAATTTACTTACCTACCCTTTTAGTAGATTTTTGTGTATTGAACTTTAAAAAAAAATGAAGAAATTGTATATTATGCTAACTATCTTAATATTAAGATAACTAATTAGTAATTAGATTTTTTTTAATCACACCTAATTAATCATTTAAATTATTTTTTCTCAATAAATTTTGAAATAATTTAAAGAAAAAAAAATATAATGATGAAATAAAATAAGAACACTTAAACCACACGACTAAGAATTTTAAGGATGTATCCCTTCTTGAGTTGATCCGAAATGTTGTAGAATACGCGTAGCAAATCATGCATCGTTGCCAAAAATGTTAGTGGCATCATATACTTGATCATCATCTAAACCATCAATTTTCATCATTTCTTGATACAAGTTGGCTTGTAATCCAGCTAGATCCCTGTCAACCGTGGAAAGCACATCAATAAGATCATCTAATTTGTTAGTAGAATTAAGGATAAAATCGTAATTCACATTTACTATCAGAATTGGGAGTGCAAATCCGGTAGGGGTGGGGGAATGCCAATCTCATTCCTCAACCCTAAATTAGTATAGGACCCACACATTCCCACTCCCATTCGAAAATAAAAAGTCCCGTCAGGAAATTGACAAATTTTTGCATGAACTTATAAAAATCATAACTAATTCAAAAAAAAAAAGTTTTTGAGTGATTTAAAAACCCACTTAAAGATGTCTACTTTAATAGAAAAATATCAACAGAGACAAAACAATATATAAAATAACTAGAAAAACTAAAATTTCATAGTTGATCACAGAAACTTATTCATAATCATTTTGTCAAACATATGGCATGCAAACTTCAAACAACTAGAAATAAACTTAATGATCATCAAAAATTAAACTCCATCATCAAAATACAAATTCTAATTTAATCCCATGATTTTTAAAGGTTGAGGACTCTCACCATTGAAAAAACAACAAAGTTCAGCTTCACTTTGATGATGAACTCGTAGCTTGAATTGATAAAAACATGTTTGGCTGGAATAGTAGATTTGGAGGAGTTAAATATCATGTACAATCATTCAAAAATGGATTAGAACTCACCCACTAAAATAAATTTATCAATGAACAAGTTATGGTAAGGACAACTTACCAAAATGGATTTACAATCTTCTATTCTCGGATTGGGGCTTGAACCAAATATTTGAGAGGTTTTTAGGGCTCAAAAATCATCTCTAACTCAAGGAAATCAAAGGGGGATGTTAGTACTATAAGTTAAGAAGAAAAATTTTAATGGAAAATTGGAGTTTTGAATGATTTTTGGTGGGTTTTCTTTAGCTCCTCTGCATAGTTACGAGATTCTTTTATTTTTTTTTGAGAGAAAGAGCAAGAGAGGGAGTGAGAGAGACAGAGTAGAATATGTTTGAACTTTAGAAAATAATCGATATGTCATCTTCTCTTTTTCTTTTTAATTTTATTTTTCAACCTAACTAAATTTATATTGGTTGTGGTGTATGGTGATTCTCAAACAACCAATCAAAAACTAACTCCATCAGCTTTTCTGTTTTGACCCACATATTTTTATAATCGTGTTTTGGGTTCCATATTTTCAAAAAAATTACGTTTTGATTCAGTATTTTGGCAAAATTACAAATTTGACATCGAAATAGAATCTTTATAAAACTCGACTATTGATTAATTTCAATGCTCCAATTAAGAATCCGATAATAGAAATTTCATCAAGAATTTAATTCACTAAGTTTTGCTCTAATTAATATTTTTGGGAAACACTTACACTCGGATGATAATTTCGTCGGGTGACGCGTGAGTTTAAGACATCTAAATTCCCTTAATTATGATGAGAAAATCATAAAACACATAATAATCATAAAGGTCACCACAAAATTTCATGAGAATCCGAGATAGAGTTAAGGAGTGTTACATAAGATTCTTGGTGATCTAAGAGCCAGAGCATTGGATTGGTCATGGTAAAAGAATTCAAGTTATCATCGTAATCGATTGTTAGGTATAATTCTTAAATTAATTAGATTAATTTATCCATGTAATCACTAGCGTTCATCGAAAGTTTTGAGAAAAATTTTTGTTTGTACTCAATCCACATTATCGCGCTTCCTCATCCGAAATCATTTCAGAAACATGTTGATTTTTGAAACGTTTTTTAGTGCGGAAGCGTGGTAGTGCGGATTGTGTATAACAAAAATTTTCATAAAACTTTTCAATACTTTATAGATTATATTAATTTATGAAATAATAAATTAATCATATTAATTTATAAAGATGGATACCTAGCAAATGATTAGGCTGATAACTTGAGGTCTTTGACCACGAACAGTCCAAGCAGCTTTCTCAGAAAATCGGAATCTTCCTCGTCTAGTCCTTAAAATCTGCAAGACCTAGAGTGTGGGCTCTAATAAAGAACGATCAGATTAGATCACTCGCTAATTTTTATTCCTTTACTATCAACGCATGTATGTGAAGAAACTGGGAATTGGAAGAACTTTTTTTTTTCTATTTTCTCTCTCTAATATTCGGCTGTCTTAGGAAAAATTGAGAGCAAAAATCTCTACACCAATTTTCTATTGTCTCCTATTTATAGAACACTAAGAGAACTCTTTTGCTTTAACTTGAAGACAAAGCAACAGAAAAATCGGTTACCACTATAGTTTAATCTCATTAAAAAACATTTTCTCATTTAATTTTAGAAATTAAATTCTCTTCCTTTTTACTACATGGCCGGCCACACCATAGGAAAATCTCCCTGTGGTTGGCGCAAATCTACAACATGAGAAAGAGAAAATTCCTCCTTTATCTAGTTTCCAATTTTAGCTCAAATTCAAATCTAAATAAAGTCATACTTCACTTTCTTTTTAAATTTGATTGGAAAACTTGTCAAACAAGTAAAATGAATATCTTGAAGAGCAAACAACTGAATCCTAATAGGATTCTACATATTTCAATTTAAAAATTGAATTTCAAAAAATTTTCATTTCGAACGCCCTATACACCTTCATGTGCCTGGGAGTGTGACCTCCTGTGGTCCCATCAAAATGTGTTCCAAAATTATTTTAATTAAATGATCACATTATTTATTTCGAGTTATATTAAATCTCAATAATTCATCTTGTCTCACAAATATTACAAGGATGACGCGGGGACTCATGGACTTATAATTTCGAGCTCTAATAAAATTAATAATTAATTAAACTCTTTAATTAATTAATTAATTCTATTAATTTCAAAAGTTACTCCACTAAAAACTTGAAATTTTACTCTCGAAATTATAGACATAATTTACTTCTAAGAATTTAAAGTGTCCATTCGATATAGTCATTACATATAGATCAATCCTCCATAAATAATTTATAATTAGAGATAGGTAAAATCCATTAACCTCTTTGATTATATCTTTATCCTTGAGTACCATTGATTCTTTAATGATTTGTATATTCATAAAACACATTCATGAATACGAGCTCGTTACTTATTCAAGTACCGAATTAACCTCCAATGAAATTATTTATCTACTTCTTCAAAAAAGAATGAATGGATTTCATCTCGTATATTAGCATTTTTGGATCTATTTTATCATGTTTCTAAGATACAAGGAATATGATTTATGATCTCAAAATCCATACCGAATAAGTAAAAAAATACAAATCCATAAATATGAGTCTACCAATAACTCAGGATTAAAATCATTCCATATATGACAATCGGTAGACTAAAATTTAATTTTCTATAGTTAACAGAAATTATCAGAAAATTAAATTGTGACTGTGTCATAGTTCTACATAATCTTTTTATGCATAATACACTTATTAAATATCCCTCTATATTAATGATACGGATAACACCATTCCATTCTTAATGAGAATGACGTGTATTAGTAACGTTTTAATTAAAGATTTTGTAACTTTAATTAAATTCATTACGATATTATTTTGATTATTATCCTTAAATATTATCCTTTCGTATATAATACTTATATACAATATTTAAGATCACATAAATAATCACAGAATTTTTAATGATATTCATAAAGTATTCAATAATACATGCACATAAATAACGAATAAATTATTTTATTAATTAAATAATAAATATTCTTATTGCATCTTATGCTTTAAGGACACTATTCCTAACAAAACTAACATAATTATAGTTGATGATAAAATGAATGTGTAATTACTCTTTTGCCCCCATAATTATGAGTACTTGGTTTCCATTATCGGGTTTTTGTTTCTAAGCATGTTGGAAAAAATTGTGGAAATGTAATTTTGAAGAGTTATTGGGGATTTTTGTTAAGATATTTTAATTTGAAACCAAAATTTGAGGTTAAACCTTTGTTTTAAGCTTTTATGCTGAAAATCTTTCTTTGGTGACCTTGATGGAGTTTTTTATGCATTTTCTGATGAGGTTTAGTACTTGCTAAACCTTGAAAAACACTTTGAAGTGTGACTTGAGAATTTGGGTATTTAAACTCAAAGCTTTATCAAATTTTTTCAATTTTTTAAGATTTCTCCAATCCTAAAAACCCTCAAATTAATGGCTTTAGTTTTGTTTTGCTTTATGTTTATCACCTTTGTGATGATAACCTTAAAAAAAACAAGCAATTTGACCGTAATACTTTTTATTTTTGTGTCACATGTCACTCATATAATTATTTCACTCAAAATAATGAAATGAGCAAATTTATTAACGGTGTAAAGATAAAAAAATATGGAGTAAAGTGTAATAAAGTCACCGAATAAGTAAGTAAGCCTTTGTGATGATAACCTCAAAGAATACAAGCAATTTGATCAGAATATCCTTCATTTTTGTGTCACATTTCACTCGAATAGTTATTTTTATCTCTCAAAGTAATGAAAGGAGTAAATTATTAGCGGAGTAAAGGTAAAAAAGATGGAGTAAAATGTTACATCGTCACTTAATAATTTTTATAATTAATCCTATATTAAGCCAGCCCAACTGCAAAAACTCTTGCCTTCCTTTAGACAGTCTTTTGTCTCTAACACACCAGCGAAGCAAATAAAACCTGTCCCTCCACTCCTTTCCCCTTTCTTCCTTTCTTCCTTTCTTCCTTTCTCTCTCTAGAAACCTCATTTCCTTTCCATTTCCTCCTTTCTGATGTTCAATCAAATTCTTTGATCCAATTCTTTTTCGCAGATCCTTTGTTTTCTCGGATTCCAAAACAATCGTTTTCGTTCGATTCGATACTGATATCTGATTCTCGGTGTCAGATGATTAACTTAGGTTTTAGCTAGAGCTCGACCGATCGCGTTTTGGAGAAGTTGCGGCAAAATCGTAAATAACCGTCAGAACTGGGGGCGAATCAGTCTCGGTCTCACCGGGCGCCACCGTCGGGACAGGCCGGGGTGGGACTCTGGTTGTTCCTCCGCCCTAACAATGCTCCACGCGCCCACACGCTTCACTACCTCCCTCACGTTGAGTCGTCGTTGGTGAGCCGCCATACGGTCGATCAAGCTCCGCTGGCGTCGTCGTCGACCTCCATGGAAAGCTCCAGTGCCTCATCGAATTCCAATTTTGCTCCTCTCGAAGAGCCCGAGTACGTGGCGCGGTACCTGGTCGTCAAGCACTCTTGGCGTGGCCGCTACAAGCGGATCCTCTGCATTTCCAATGTGACCATTATCACCTTGGACCCCTCGACCCTCGCCGTGACGAATTCCTACGACGTCCGGAGCGATTTTGAGGGCGCTGTGCCGATAATTGGCCGCGACGACAGCTCTAATGAGTTCAATTTGAGCGTGAGAACCGACGGTCGAGGGAAATTCAAGGCCATCAAGTTCTCGTCCAGGTACAGGGCGAGTATATTGACGGAGCTGCACAGAATTAGGTGGAATAGGTTGAATGCGGTTGCAGAGTTCCCGATGCTTCATCTGCGGCGACGGAACTCGGAGTGGGTTCCCTTTGTAAGTGACTTTCTACTTTCTAAACATGCCATGTTATTGGATGTGCAGTTGATAGGTCTTTGATATAATTTTATAATTGAGTGTTTTTTTTTTTGGCCTATTTTTCATCCTCGTATTAGTAATATAGAAGTTTCTGGTTAAAGTGTATTTTTTGGTTAGCCTGTTAGCCTGTATGATATAATTCAGGCTCTTGAAGTTGCTGCGTGTATCCGTGGACTCCTTAACATTTACCCTTATTTCCTCGAATTGCCTATGAACTATTAAGTTGACGCGTCAACAAAAATTTATTACCACTCTATTTTCGGTGTTTGGCCCATAAATGAACTCGCTGCATTACCTGGTTTAGGATTTTATAGTACATGTTGGCACGTTGGGCTGGTATGACCATTGCAGGACTAAACTAATTTGATCCCTTATGCAGAAAATGAAAGTTACTTATGCAGGGGTCGAACTTCTTGACTTAAAAACTGGAGACCTCCGCTGGTGCTTAGATTTCAGAGACATGGATTCTCCTGCCATCATTTTTCTTTCTGATGCTTATGGAAACAGAAATACTGATAATGGGGGTTTTATTCTCTGCCCTTTATATGGACGAAAAAAAAAAGCCTTTAAAGCTGCTTCCGGGACCACAAATTCTGCTATCATCGCAAGTTTGGTATGACTGATATCGTGGCTCTTTAATTTAATGTGTGAAAGTAGTTTGGTTACACAATTGGATATTTTAAGATCTGCTGTCATTGCAACAATTTTGATATCTCTTTCAGCTTAGTATAGTTTCTAAGGCTAATTTTAAGTTCTTGTTGTTTGAATATGCGATTGGATCAACCTTACATAGTGCATGTTTAATGTAGACTAAAGCAGCAAAATCAATGGTTGGCTTGTCAATATCGGTGGACACTACTCAATCTTTAACAGCAGCAGACTACATAAAACGAAGGGGTACATTGTTTTAATTCCCCACCCCTCCTCTTTCCAGCTATTTTCTTCTTCCTTTTTGTTCCATTTATATATGCTTCTTCTTCGCTTAATGGTGAATGCAGCAAAAGAGGCAGTTGGAGCAGAAGAAACCCCATGTGGGGGCTGGTCTGTGACAAGGTTGAGGTCTGCTGCTCATGGAACTCAGAATATTGCTGGATTGAGTTTAGGTGTTGGCCCAAAAGGTGGACTTGGTGAGCATGGTGATGCTGTATCTCGGCAGCTTATCCTCACAAAAGTATCTCTTGTTGAAAGGCGTCCAGAGAACTATGAAGTAAGATGATGAGTTTACTCAAGCTGTCGAGGTTGGAAAAAAAAAAAGAAGACAGAAGTGATATATAGATATTTAAAGTTTATATTGTTTGATTTAGGTAGTAGCCTAAGTTAGACATAACACTTTTGCATCAATAAGACTTTTGCCTATGGTGTCCCTTTAAGCATCAAGCGTAAATTGGTTCAAAATTTACTCTACAAAATTTTTGCTTGTGTCATGCTCGCTTGTGTTGCAATTATCTGCTCAACAATAAGGGATTAAGAGTCTGTTTATGTGATGGACAGAGCATAAAAGAGTTGCCGAGTGAGTTTAGCAATATGTTTTAACATCCATTGGTTATCAGCTGTCAGTGGTCACTTGTCAATTTAGATGCTTAAATCTGCTTGGCTGGAGTTTTCACTTTCTGCAGGATGTTATGCAATGGAGAAAATCTGGAAGTAGAACTTTATGCGCATTACTTTGCTAGATAGTTTTGGTTGCGGATATGTAAGATAGATAATCAGGCTGTTTTATTTCGTTTTTTGTTTTGCTTTGCTTTGTTTTGTTTTGCTTTGCTTTGCTTTGTTTTGTTTTGTTTTGTTTTGTTTTTTGTTTTTTGTTTTTTGTTTCGTTTTTTTGTTTTTGTTTTTGTTTTTTTTTTGCTTTTTGTTTTTTTGCTGAGAAAATCCTTTGCTTGTTATCTGTCTTTTTTATGACATCAGAATCATGCTATTATTAATATTTATACTGATCTTACTCTTATCGTAAGCTTCCTACATGTGTCTGTGTTTAGATGATTGCACACACGCCCGCAGATGTACCATGTACAGCTGTATGCATATGTACTGGTTGTCACACACAAACAGGACGTTTGTGTATGATTTAGGCATTTATCCATGTTGCACGTTCATTATGCATTGGCACAAATTGAATCTACAGAATTGGTTGTATCTTTAGGATTGTCCCCCTTCTTTTTGTGGGATGTGTATGTATCTACATGTGCAGGGTTGTTAGCATAATCCCCCGTAATTTATAAAAGTTTTTGCATAACCCTTTTTCATTTTCTGGTTAAAGATGAGTTAGGAAGGAAGTATCTTTCAAGAAAAGTATTTGTTAGTGTTGATTATGTCCAAATTCCATGTGATGTGCTCATTTATAATCGTGTCATATATATTGTGCATACTTGAGGAGTTAGATCAAATGTTGAGAATTGCCACTAGATGTTTGCAGGCTGTTATTGTTCGACCTTTATCTGCGGTAAGCTCACTTGTTCGATTTGCTGAGGAGCCCCAGATGTTTGCTATTGAATTCAATGATGGATGCCCTATCCACGTAAGCATTGATTAACTTCAGTTTGCAACTTTTAGTTTTTTTTTGTTTACCTTTTTTTTTTTTTTGGGTAGAGGTTCTGATCCTTATGACATGATCTGTAGGTTTATGCCAGCACATCACGTGACAGCTTACTTGCCGCAGTTCTGGATGTGTTGCAAACAGAAGTAGGTAGATGTGTTCTCTCTTGAATATTAAGGATTTTACCAACAAGCTAAATTATGTTGCTTTCAGTCAATATTTTCCGTAATACTGTATGTGTGTGTGTTTTATGATATTTACTGTTATCATTTATTACTTTCTGTGAATATGTGGTGTGGTTGACCTCTGGTTGAATTTGTGCAGTGCCAATGTGCAGTACCAGTGTTACCAAGATTGACTCTGCCTGGTCATCGTATTGATCCTCCTTGTGGTAGAGTTCATTTACAATTTGGAAAACAAGTCTCCGGTGCTGATATGGAGAGTGCAGCCATGCATTTGAAACACCTAGCTGCAGCTGCAAAAGATGCGGTTGCTGAAAATGGTTCTATTCCTGGATCAAGAGCTAAATTGTGGCGTAGAATTAGGGAGTTTAATGCGTGTATACCCTACAGTGGTGTCCCTGCTAATATTGAAGTACCTGAGGTGACATTGATGGCCTTAATAATGATGCTTCCATCTTCACCACCTCTTCTTCCGCCTGATTCCCCCCCATTGCCTCCCCCTTCACCCAAAGCAGCTGCAACAATAATGGGCTTTGTTGGATGTTTACATAGATTGCTATCTTCAAGAAGTGCAGCTTCACATGTAATGGCTTTTCCTGCTGCTGTTGGAAGAATAATGGGTTTACTCAGAAACGGTTCCGAGGGTGTTGCTGCTGAAGCTGCTGGACTTGTTGCCGTGCTAATTGGTGGTGGGCCGGGGGATACAAATTTACTAACGGACTCTAAAGGAGAGCAACATGCCACAATCATGCACACGAAGTCAGTGTTATTTGATAATCATGACTATATTGTAATTATTGTAAATAGACTGAAGCCAATGTCTGTATCTCCTTTGCTATCAATGGCTGTTGTTGAAGTTCTTGAGGCAATGATATGTGATCCACACGGTGAAACTACTCAATACACGGTTTTTGTTGAATTGTTACGCCAAGTAGCTGGTTTGAAGCGTCGATTATTTGCATTGTTTGGACATCCTGCCGAAAGTGTCAGAGAAACTGTAGCTGTGATTATGCGTACAATTGCAGAAGAAGATGCAATTGCAGCGGAGTCTATGCGTGATGCAGCATTGCGTGATGGTGCTTTGCTCAGGCATTTGATGCACGCATTTTTTCTTCCTGCTGGTGAGAGGCGTGAGGTTAGTCGACAGCTTGTCGCTCTTTGGGCTGATTCGTACCAGCCAGCCTTGGATTTGTTATCTAGAGTTCTCCCTCCAGGGCTTGTTGCTTACTTGCACACACGTTCTGATGGAAGCCCATCAGAAGAAGGTTCTCAAGATGGATCTTTGACCAGTAGAAGACGGAGGCGTTTGCTCCAACAAAGGAGAGGTCGTGCAGGGAGAGGAATAACATCTCAGGAGCATCTACCTACTGTGGTTAATTATGAAGTGGGTGACCCAGCAAAGCAAATAAGCGTTTCTGCTTTTAAAAGTTTGGATAGTTATCAAAAGTCAGCTCCAGAGGCTAGTTATGGACAGGTTTTGACAATCCAACCTTCTATTGCTCAAACCACTGAAAATTTGACTGGTGAAATTCCCTCTACAGTGGTTTCAACAAATGATAATGCTGCTGTTTTAGCTTCAGCTGGTGTTTCATCTATGAATACACATGGGACGACTGAACTAAATGCTTCAATTTCAACTGATTCTGACATCACTATGTCTGGTTTCCAGAATACAGGCCTTCCAGCTCCTGCCCAGGTTGTCGTGGAGAATACTCCTGTGGGTTCTGGCAGGCTACTTTGTAATTGGCCTGAATTCTGGCGAGCTTTTAGCCTTGATCATAATCGTGCGGACTTGATCTGGAACGAGCGTACAAGGCAAGAATTAAGGGAGGCTTTGCAGACTGAGGTTCATAAACTAGATGTTGAGAAGGAGCGTACTGAAGATATTGTTCCTGGAGGTGCTACAATGGAGACAACATCTGGGCAAGAAAGTATGACACAAATATCTTGGAACTACTCTGAGTTCTCTGTTAGGTATCCTAGTTTATCCAAAGAGGTTTGTGTTGGTCAATATTATTTGCGTTTGCTGCTTGAGAGTGGCAGTGGTGGCAGGGCCCAGGACTTTCCTTTGCGTGATCCAGTTGCCTTCTTTAGAGCTCTTTATCATCGGTTCTTATGTGATGCAGACATAGGGCTTACTGTAAATGGTGCTGTTCCTGATGAAATGGGTGCATCAGATGATTGGTGTGATATGGGAAGATTAGATGGGTTTGGAGGAGGAGGAGGCTTCTCTGTCAGAGAACTTTGTGCAAGGGCAATGGCAATTGTATATGAACAGCATTACAAGTTGATAGGTCCTTTTGAGGGCACTGCTCATATTACAGTTCTCTTGGATAGGACAGATGATAGAGCTTTGAGGCACCGGCTTCTTCTTCTCTTGAAGGTAAACTGGGATTCAGTGCTCTTTTTCCATTCTAAATAAATATTGGCTTCATATGAAGCTACATGTGTGCTATGTATCACCATATTCTGGTCTGAGAATTGGTCTAGTTGAAGCACACTGACTTATGTTGCAAAATCCTAGTTTTCTGTTGTCAGCATTCTCTTAATGTTCTGTCGTTTGCCTTCTCATATTATATAATATAATCAGCAAACGTCAAAATTTCATTAGTTTAGATTAATCTCTCCTTGTTTATGTTCGTGCTGCTTGTTGTCTTGTCTTGGGAAACTGTTATCCTCTTTTATACTATAGCCAATTGCCAGACCTAAGTTTTCTTAATGAAAAAGTGGTGTGTTCTACTGGGGTTAGTCAAAAGGACCTGATCATGGAATTCGTACATAATTGCAGTCTTTGAATGCAATAGACAATAATTACTCTACATATGTACTAAGAGATTTTAGTACTGTTAAAAAAAAAGACAATAATTTGCGTTAAATTGCAGGCTTTAATGAAGGTCTTATCAAATGTTGAGGCTTGCGTTTTGGTTGGTGGGTGTGTATTAGCTGTTGATCTGCTGACTGTGGTTCATGAAGCATCAGAAAGGACCGCTATTCCTTTGCAGTCTAATCTGATTGCTGCTACTGCTTTTATGGAACCACTTAAGGAATGGATGTTTATAGACAAGAATGGAGCAGAAATTGGACCCGTGGAGAAGGATGCTATAAGAAGATTCTGGTCAAAGAAGGCAATTGATTGGACGGCACGATGCTGGGCTTCGGGGATGGTAGATTGGAAGAGGTTGCGGGATATTCGTGAACTACGTTGGGCATTATCTGTTCGAGTTCCAGTTCTCACTCCAGCTCAGGTGATGTACTTTATACATGTAACTTAATACTGGTATTCAACATACTTGGCAGCATGGTTGCTGTGGTTTATGGTTTGGTTCTATACATGTTTTGGACTGCAGTTGCACCTCTTTCTGGTTATGCTTACGAGTCTTGTTCATTCAATAATTATTGTTAATATGGAAAGAGTTGATTTTTCTGTTCAGGTCCCAGAAAGCAGCTGGGATCTTTAATTCTTAACTGTCATTCTATGTGCTAGATAAGGTTGCATTTTATACAGTTACGAATTTCTCTTATGCAGAAGCATTTTTCGCTCTTTTTTTGCTGTTATACTTTTGGATGATGCATCTAACATGTTAACTTTTGAATTCAGGTGGGAGAGGCTGCATTATCCATATTACATAGCATGGTATTTGCGCATTCAGATTTAGATGATGCAGGAGAGATAGTTACTCCAACTCCTAGGGTGAAACGGATCTTGTCAAGTCCACGTTGCCTTCCACATATTGCACAGGTGATTTGCAGACTTTAATTAATGTATGGACTTTAATTCATGTTAGTGCTAACCAGTTCTATTTTTCTGATAGTTGTTCTGTTATACTTTTCTTATTAAAAAAAGCAACTGATTGATCAAATGTTAGGAATATTGGGTCTTTCTTTGTTTTTTACTGTGGATATAGGATACGTTATTTTTCTTAGTTTCTCAATCTTATTTTCCCAATAAATTTAGGCTATGCTTTCTGGGGAACCAAGTATTGTGGAGGCTGCCTCTTCTTTGCTGAAAGCTAATGTTACTAGAAACCCAAAGGCCATGATTCGTCTATATAGCACTGGTGCATTTTATTTTGCTCTGGCATACCCTGGATCAAATCTCCTTTCAATTGCCCAACTCTTCTCTGTAACTCATGTCCATCAAGCGTTTCATGGCGGTGAGGAAGCTGCGGTATCATCTTCATTGCCGCTGGCAAAGCGTAGTGTTTTGGGTGGCCTTCTTCCTGAATCCTTGTTGTATGTATTGGAGCGTAGTGGTCCAGCTGCATTCGCAGCTGCAATGGTTTCTGATTCTGATACCCCAGAGATTATATGGACTCACAAAATGCGAGCTGAAAATCTAATTTGTCAGGTACTTAAGAACTTTAGATACTGCAAACACTCTCGTGCATTATATTAAGTATGCTGTACAGCATTAAAACGTAGTTTTGACATATTTTCTTACAGCTTTAATTGTAAACTGGAACTTCTTCCCTCCCTCACAGGTCTTGCAGCATCTTGGTGACTTCCCCCAGAAATTGTCACAGCACTGCCATACTCTGTATGAATATGCTCCTATGCCACCAGTGACGTATCCGGAGCTACGAGATGAAATGTGGTGTCACCGTTATTACCTGCGGAATTTATGTGATGAAATTCGGTTTCCGAATTGGCCTATTGTTGAGCATGTTGAGTTTCTGCAGTCATTACTGGTAATGTGGCGTGAAGAGTTGACAAGAAGGCCCATGGATCTCTCTGAAGAAGAAGCTTGCAAGATATTAGAAATATCCTTGGAAGATGTATCTAGTAATGATGGCAGTAAGAAGCATTCCTTAGAAATTGGTGACGAGGTATCAAGCATATCTAAGCAGATTGAGAACATTGATGAAGAGAAACTTAAACGACAATATAGAAAACTTGCCATGAAGTACCATCCTGACAAAAATCCTGAAGGAAGGGAAAAGTTTCTTGCTGTGCAGAAAGCTTATGAGCGCCTTCAGGTAAATTTGGTCCAGAGTGTTTAATCTAAATTGTACTTGCCAAAGTCTCTAAGGTGTGTTTGTATGGTACCAAAGGATGGATATTTACTTAAAAATCTCTAGGAATTTTACCCTAAATTAACTGGTTTTGTGTGTGTGTGTGTGTGTGCGGAAAATATCAGTTGGGTACCCCGTGGTTTAGCACTTTATCAAAATAGGTTCCCATGTTCTTGGGAAATCCTGTTTGGTCACCCTGTCATTTAAGCTGTATCCGGGACTGGGTGCTCCATGCCCATTTTTTGGGACATAAAATGACGGTTTTCCCTTCCCATATGTGTGCGTGTGTATTTTCTCTAATAGGCCTGTGGTTGATATATTGCACCTTGAATTAATTTGATGTTGACATTATCTACATTATAGATCTTTTTGCTTGCTGTGTTCCTTAATCCATATCTTGTGTCTTTTGAACTTTGAGGGATCTTTTTTGTGTTTTTGTGCGTCTATGCTCATCCTTTTTTTCTTACAATTGCAGCAATGCAATGATCTTCTGTAGTGATAGTAATATACATCTTGTGACTGACTGGAAATGGTTTCCTAATGGTAAAATAAAAAACTCTGAGCTGTATGTGGTAAATCTTCTAATATATCGAATACATAAAAAAAAAAAAAAACAAAAAAAAAAGAAAAGAAAAGAGCTGTCGAGTTCTAGTTTCAGGTATCCAGAAAAAATAAGTTCCACTTTTAGCTTGTTTCAAGTTTTCTTACCCTCTAAGTATGATTGTTACAGGCCACCATGCAAGGCTTGCAAGGTCCTCAGCCTTGGCGGTTGTTACTTCTGTTGAAAGGGCAGTGTATCTTGTACAGGCGATATGGAGATCTGCTGGAGCCATTTAAATATGCTGGTTATCCCATGTTGCTCAATGCAGTTACTGTTGACCAGGATGATAGCAATTTTCTTTCCTCGGATAGAGCACCACTCTTGGTTGCAGCCTCAGAGCTTATTTGGCTAACGTAAAATTCTTGTGTCAGCCGTTTGATTTTTCTGGTTTCATTTGTATTGACATAATCAGCCGTAACTTTCTGTGATTTTTTCATTTTTTTAGGTGTGCATCGTCTTTGTTAAATGGTGAAGAACTTGTAAGGGATGGTGGGATTCAACTTATTGCTAATCTTCTTTCACGTTGTATGTGCGTAGTTCAGCCAACTACTCCTGCAAATGAACCAGCGGCCATCATTGTTACAAATGTGATGCGGACTTTTTGTGTATTGAGTCAGTTTGAGAGTGCAAGGGCTGAAGTACTTGAATATTCTGGACTGGTTGATGACATTGTGCACTGTTCTGAACTTGAGCTTGTACCTGCAGTAGTTGATGCTGCTCTCCAGACTATTGCCAATGTTTCTGTGTCCTCTGAATTGCAGGATGCCTTAATAAAGGCTGGGGTCTTATGGTAAGTAGCTTATTTTCTTAGATTCTTCTTATTGGCTTGCATGTTTGGTCTATTAATTCTAATAGTTGTTCTCTCGATCTCCTCTAGTTGATTTGTCTAAATATCCTGTAAGAACAACCACTTATTATCTGCAATTGTTTCTGGTAATTATTTATCTGCAATTAACGGATGGTATGTATAGTTATTTACAAATACAACAGCTCCTGCATTATTGTATTGAGGTCTCAACTTGTTGTGTAAATTTGGTTTATTTAGGTACCTTTTACCCTTGCTGCTCCAATATGACTCAACAGCAGAGGAATCTGATACGACAGAGTCACATGGTGTGGGAGCTAGTGTACAAATAGCGAAAAATATGCATGCTGTGCGTGCATCCCTGGCCCTATCACGTCTTACTGGTTTGTGCAGTGATGAGAATTCAACACCTTATAATCAGGCTGTAGCTGATGCCCTCAGAGCTTTGCTGACTCCTAAACTTGCAAGTATGTTAAAGGATCATGTACACAAAGATCTGTTGTCCAGATTGAACACCAATCTTGAGTCTCCTGAGGTATTTTTTTTTCCTAATATATTTTAGCGTTTTTTGTTGGTAAAATATACAGGTGCTTGTTAATGTTGTTGAATGGTAGGATGTTCATCCGCCTGCTTTAGGGACAAATTTTAAGTGAACTCTGGATTTTCATCGGCAACTTTCTTGTAAAATTTCATATCTTCTATCTTATTAAAACTATAAAGTTTTCAGCTACTATTGTTTCTGTGTGATATAACACTGCATTGAACGCTGAAGATTTATAGATAAGGGTTGAGAAAAGGTCGTGAATCTAATGGTACTTAGCTCTAGGAGATCGTGTGTATCACTTTAACAGTTGGCATCGTCCAGTGGCATGGTTCCATGAGCTATGTCCAGACATATGGTCAATTGATATGCATAAAATTAGTTATTGCAAGGTGTTCATTATCTTCTTGCATGACAGAAAATACTATATGGATATCTCATGAGCTTCATTCAGCTTTTTCTTTTTCAACTCTATGTGGTTGTAGATTATCTGGAACTCTTCAACACGAGCAGAACTCTTGAAATTTGTGGATCAGCAGCGTGCAAGTCAGAGTCCTGATGGTTCATATGACTTGAAAGAGACACTTGATTTTATGTATAAGGCGCTATCTAAAGAACTCTATGTTGGCAATGTTTACTTGAGGGTCTACAATGATCAGCCAGAATTTGAGATCAGTGAACCAGAGACTTTCTGTGTTGCTCTGGTTGATTTTATCTCATATTTGGTGCGCAATCCAAGTGCTGCAGATTCTGGTGTCCAGGAAAAAACAAATCTTAGCGGCTCATCTGATGAGACTTCTGACCATCCCAATGATGTTGCTGGCGGGCTAGTTAGTGGACAGAATCCTGATGATTCTTTGTCCGAATCTGCTGGACATTTGGCAGAGAAAGAAGAATTTGAATTGGTTAAGAACCTCAGATTTGCACTGACCTCTCTTCAGGTATGTTGCTTAGTTATATATAGATTGTCCATTCTATGATGTCCTCTCTTTTATTTTATTTTATTTTATTTTTATTTATTTATTTATTTATTTTTAAAGATAAGAAGTTTGTCTCTTCATTTGCAGAACGTACTCACAAGCAATCCAAATTTGGCATCAATATTTTCTACGAAAGACAAACTATTGCCACTTTTTGAATGCTTTTCTGTGACTGTGGCATCAGAAAGTAACATTCCTCAGCTTTGTCTTAGCGTGTTGTCACTCTTGACAAAGCATGCTCCCTGCTTGGAGGCCATGGTTGCAGATGGATCTAGTCTTCTTCTTTTGTTACAAATGCTGCACTCTTCCCCAAGTTGTCGTGAAGGTGCTCTTCACGTTCTTTATGCATTGGCAAGCACTGCTGAACTTGCTTGGGCAGCTGCCAAGCACGGTGGAGTAGTCTACATTCTTGAGCTTCTGCTACCTTTGCAGGGTAAAGAATTTTTATTCTCTTTATTTATTTATTTATTTTTTTCTCAAGGTTAGAGTTTGCTGATAGAACTGTTCTTGCGCAGAAGAAATTCCCTTGCAGCAAAGAGCTGCGGCAGCCTCTTTGTTAGGGAAGCTTGTTGGACAACCAATGCATGGGCCGAGAGTTTCTATAACACTAGGAAGGTTTCTTCCTGATGGATTGGTATCAGTTATTCGGGATGGTCCTGGTGAGGCTGTAGTTGCTGCCCTTGAGCAAAGTACAGAAACACCAGAACTTGTATGGACACCAGCAATGGCAGCTTCTTTATCTGCACAAATTTCAACTATGGCGTCAGAGTTATACCGTGAACAGAGGAAAGGTCGTGTCCTTGACTGGGATGTCCCTGAGCAGGCATCTGGTCAACAAGAGATGAGAGACGAACCACAGGTATCACCTAGTTTTATTTTTATTTTTTATTTTTATAGATTTTATTGCATCTTCTTGTTCAAATTGATTTAATTTCAAAGTGCATGCAGGTCGGTGGAATCTATGTTAGGTTATTCTTGAAAGATCCTAAATTTCCTCTTAGAAATCCAAAGAGATTCTTGGAAGGACTACTTGATCAGTATTTACAATCAATTGCTGCCAGCCATTATAACTCGCAAGCTGTTGACCCAGAACTTTCTTTGCTTCTTTCCGCGGCTTTGGTTTCATTATTGCGAGTGCACCCTGCACTTGCAGATCATGTTGGGTATCTTGGATATGTGCCCAAGCTTGTGGCTGCTGTGGCTTATGAAGGAAGACGAGAAACAATGTCATCGGGTGAGGTGAGCAATGGCAATTATGCAGACAGAACGGATGAACCTGAGGACGGATCAACACAACCTGTACAAACACCACAAGAACGTGTACGCCTTAGCTGTTTACGTGTCTTACATCAACTTGCAGCTAGTACTACGTGTGCTGAAGCTATGGCAGCAACTAGTGCAGGAACACCTCAGGTAGGTCACATATTATTCGTAATTTCACGTCCTATACGGTTTCCCATGCATTTAATCAATCTGCTTTTGCACATTTCTTCATTTTTGGAAGATTAAAGAATTACTGAATTTTACATGACTACCTGACAGAAATAATACTATTTTGGAATTCACCTCTCTCTCTCTCTCTCTCTCTCTCTCTCTCTCTCTCTCTGACTTGATTTAATTAAAACATATCATCAAATGGTGTTGTTGATTCAGTCGTAAGATCTCATACTCAACATTCAATCTCACGCGAATAATACGTTCTTTTATCTTCTTTTTTATATGCTTCAGGTTTGTTTTTGTGCTATTCTGCATATCAGAGTATCTGCAAGTTCTACTAGTAATAAATCCTCCATTAAGAGACAATAATAAGTAGTTGATCTTGATTCTTTTCATAGAGCATTCTCCATAGATATTACTTTCCAATGGGCTTAGTCATTTTTAATGCTGGTGTCTTTTTATACTAATCCTCTTCTTTGCCCTTGTTTATTTTGTTTTTAGGTTGTTCCTCTTCTGATGAAAGCTATAGGGTGGCAAGGTGGAAGTATACTAGCACTTGAGACACTTAAACGTGTTGTGGTTGCTGGAAATCGAGCTAGGGATGCACTTGTTGCACAAGGACTCAAGTGAGTAACATTCATTATCATGTGTATGAGCGAACAAGTAATAGAGGGGTTGAACACCTGTAAAGGCATGCATATATCCTCTTTCGAACTTAAAATGTTTTCTGATAATGTATACTCATGGGAGTTACTACATGGGGCAGGGTGGCAAATATGCTTTGATTCAGAATAATTTTACAATAAATTATTTAAAAAATTTATCTTCTGTTCTGTGCAATGATAATATGAACATGAACCTTGTAGGGTCGGCCTTGTTGAAGTGCTGCTTGGCCTTCTGGATTGGAGAGCTGGCGGAAAGAATGGTCTTTGCTCTCAGATGAAGTGGAACGAATCTGAATCATCGATTGGCAGGGTGCTTGCAATTGAGGTTAGAAAACATTCACATTTAGAGTGCCATGCTAACTGTAAAAGAAAAAAGGCGCCATGTTTACTTCTTTCTGATGTTATGGTAATTGTTTCCTAAATTCATAATTTCTCACATCACATCATCAATTCTCTCATCATAATTGACATTGTTCTTTTTTGTTTTCTATTTCTCCTTTTTTCTGCAATTTCTTTTAGAATAGGAGGTTATATGGCTAGAATTTAAAGTTAAGTTTCTCCAAATACTGTACTTTGCCAACTAGCTATCTTACACTTGTTTCCAAAAATGGGAGTTTTATGAATTACAGTTGCCGGTTATTGTCTGCAGATTGGGAGACTTTGTCTTGACAGTATCTTTCATGTTAGGAAATTTAACAGCATATAATATAAGGAAAAATGGATTTTTATATTTTGTGCTTGACTTCTTTACCTCTTCAAACGCTTTTTGGTTGCACACAAGTTCTGTTAGGACTTCTTTATACCTTCCCCTCCTCAATTTGTATCCGTTTTTATTTCTTCATTTGATCAATAAAAAATTGTTCCTAAATATTATGAATCCAGGTTTTGCATGCATTTGCAACGGAGGGAGCCCACTGCACTAAAGTTCGTGATATATTAGATGCCTCAGATGTAAGTATAAATCTAGCCTATGAATTTTGCATGAGTGCTTATATTATTGATGTTCTATTCATTTTTTTTTAATAGTTTTTAATCTACTAGCCTGAATGACTATATCCATTAAAGGCCTTTCTCAATATATGCGAGTTCTTGAATATATGAAATCAATGCAAGTTCACATTTTAGTCTTGGGATTTTTTTTTTCCCCCCAAGGTTGAACTACTTATAAAATTGTGAGCCGTAGTCCCGTTTAGTTCCTTTCTTTTTACGTAAAAATTAGCTTCAACTTCAAACTGAGTACAGAATAGACCTACAATTTTCAAATTTTGCTGATGAAATTGTTGTTATTCTGTTATTGACAGGTTTGGAGTGCGTATAAAGACCAGAAGCATGATCTCTTCCTCCCTTCAAGTGCTCAATCTGCTGCCGCTGGAGTAGCGGGGCTAATCGAGAATTCATCATCGAGACTCACTCATGCCCTTACAGCTCCTCCATCACAGCCTAGTTTATCGAAACCTCCTGCTTCAACGACATCTAACTCCAACGGAAGACCAGATCAGCTTTCGTAGTACACGGAATATAGAGATATGGTAATGAGGCAGTTGCTGAAGCTGCATAAAATACTCTGTATAGCACACTGTACAGTTTTATCACTTTTTTTCCCCCCGTCTGCTCATACTTTCACATGTGAGTAGCTTTTTTGATTCGTATAAGAAAAGGGAAAAGAGGAGAGCCATTCGTTTACATGTAAAGATTACTTTGTGCCTTGTACATTAAGTAAGCAGTTGCCAATTTGCTATATAAAAGAAGTGAGGTGATTTTGTGTGATTTCATCGTGGCAACTTTTCTTTCTTATGTTGCATGTCTTTCCTGAAAATTGTCTGTAATTGGCTTTTGCATTTTAATAAACTTTGACGAATTTCTTAAGGTAGAATTCATACATTTTGTCTTTGCCTTCATCTTCCTTTTCTTCTCCTCATGGAGTTATGGACCAATGCAATTATACTCATAAAAGCTTTAAGCGGACCTTTTTATCTCTCTCATTAAGTTGCATTTTGAAATATTCATAGAAGATTTGTAAATGCAATAAAGCGAGAACGTATTTTTTTGTCTTCGAAATGGAAAATATTTTAAGTAGCTTAATAATAATGTTTTTAACGACATTAAATTTTAAGTTTTGTTAAATAGCAACACAATTAAGTCATCAATTCCAGTCTTATCACACCTTACAAAGAAAAAAAAAAAAAAAAAAAAAAAACTTATCTTTATTATCATAATTTGACAGAGACTTGTGCAACTCTGTAATATATTACAAAGAGTTCTTACCGGGAAAGGATGGTAATCTATTAGTACATAGCAAAAATTAAAGTATTGAGCGTACTAACCAATATTTCTAAGGCCGGTAATTCGAGTAGCGACACGACGACACGACTCGAAATCTGCATGAAGTTAGTGGATTTAGATTTACTATAAATGAATTTGGGTCATTATCGAGTTTACACAATTAACACGATTAATAAATGAGTTGGATTAAGATTGACCTCCTGACACGAAATGACACGATTAACTATGTGTGTTATTTACAATATAATGATATGTGATATAACATGAAAGTTTATGTGACATATTAAATATAAATAATGTGAATTTTAATATTTATAGGTAAAATTCATTTATTTTTCTTAAAAGAAAAGATAAATTGACTAATAAACATGTTAAATATGTATAAACCGTGTTAAATAATGCATTATTATAATAGTTATTTATTCAATATATTAATTTAAACGGGTTATACAGCTTGATACAAATAACACGATTAATAAATGAATCGTGTTTGGGTTGACATTCTAACACATTTAATAACCAAATCTTATTTGAATTGATATTTTCTGACACAATTAATAAACGATGTGACACAAAAACGATTCACTAATAAAAATTACCACCGTTAAATATTTCCAACGAGCCATTGTCCCACAAAAATAATAATAAATATAATAAAAGAACCGTTGCCTCAATTTCCATTATATTAGACCATCTCCAAGTTTTAAATGTCTTCCAAAACTGTCATAGCTACTAGCACTTGGAAATAAATGGGGATGTCATCGAGAATGTAAAATCAAGAAAATTAAATATCCTGCCTTTTATCGGGACATGGAATCCCATTTCTCAATGCATTCACAAGGAAACAAGTCAACAATATTACACCCTATTAGATATTTAGATGTCTATTTTATCATGTTGAATGTCAAATTTTTTTTTTTTTTTCAATAAATGAATGTCAGTGTTACATGACCATCGCCTTTGTATATCACAATTCACGAAGCACTAGACGATTATGGAGATTAGTGTTGGTTACTCAATTCAATCAAAAAAATACAAGGGCGGGAAGCTTATAAATACCTAGCTTACCTAACTCTTGCAACCCCAAAAACAGAGGAAGAAAACAATCATAGAGGTAGAAAAGAGAAAGGTATACCATTCTCCTAGCATTCAATTAGAATCAACAAAAAAGTGAAAATGAGAATCAACAAGAAGATCTTGGTGTTTTGCATGGTGACGGTCTCATTAGCCGTGGCATCGATGGGAACTATGGCGGACGACGAGAAGGATTGTGCCGACCAGCTCGGAAACCTTGCGTCTTGCATTCCATTTGTGAGCGGCACCGCCAAAAAGCCGACGCCGGAGTGCTGCGAAGACACCCGGAAAGTGAAGGAAACCAAGCCCAAGTGCTTGTGTGTTCTCATCAAGGAGAGTACTGACCCTTCCGTGGGCCTCCCTATCAACACCACTTTGGCTCTTCAAATGCCCTCGGCTTGCAACATTGACGCCAAAGTCTCTGATTGCCCTAGTAATGTCTCACATTAGTAACACTCCTTTGTTAATGCAAAACCAATTATGTCATTATTAGAAAATTGCCATTAAGTTTGATGCATAGAACTTCCATGAACAATACTAAGGGGCACCAGCAGCCATTAACAGAGAGTGTATGAGCCACATATGGGACCCACACTATTACTTGTGATACTAACACCAATGCTTACCCCACGCATTTTTCAACTTGTAGAATCTCAATGCATTCTCACAAAACAAAATTGTAGCATAAAGGTTTTGAATGAAAATGTAGGACAAACACATACACTAATAAAATATTGCTTGAAAATTTACATGCATTGTAGTAATTTTGTTGATGTTGGTATAATACATATTGTTTTCAGGTATATTAAATCTCCCACCAAACTCTCCTGACGCCAAGATTTTCAGCGAAGCAGATCCAGATTCCACTACGTCCTCAACAACCGATTCACCAAAAACTTCAGTTTCTACTTCATCAGGCTCGGCATCACCGTCATCTTCTTCATCTTCGTCATCTGGGTCCGATTCAAAGCCAGCCCCAAACAGCAACGATGGAGAAAAATCCAAGTTAATTGAGACAGGAACTTTGTTGGTGGTGATGATGGTTTCTACGGCGTTGATGTGCGCTTGACGAAATAATTTCCAAAAATGTGGTTATTCTGGTTCTTACCAGATTGTTACCCTTTTGGGATTTTATCACAACAATAATAGGCAGGGATTATTTGTCTTTGTAAGTTTGCTAGGTTCTCAATAAGTACAAAATTAAAAAAAAAAAAAAAAATAGAAAGTTTCAAGTTTTAGTTAATTACTTTTTGTGAGGAAGTGGCCCTGCCATTTGTATCAGTACTACAAAAAAACTCTTTCGAGAATACAATGTTTCAGAGAGAGATTAATTTGCTGGGCTATAGTATCCAAAAACAAGGTTGAAAGTGACCTAGTTAAGCTATTAAAGTTTCTTTTGTGTAAAAAAAAAAAAAAAAAAAAAAAAAAGTTTTTTTTGCTGGGCTATATTTTTCAGGAATCTCTAATTTTCGAGAATACAATGTTTCAGAGAGAGATTAATTTGCTGGGCTATAGTATCCAAAAACAAGGTTGAAAGTGACCTAGTTAAGCTATTAAAGTTTCTTTTGTGTAAAAAAAAAAAAAAAAAAAAAAAAAGTTTCTTTTGCTGGGCTATACTTTTCAGGAATCTCTAATTTGTATTTGTTATGCTTCATTATTTGCTTATATTGCATAATAATTAACGGTTTTAGATTTCTGTGTGTAGGGAGGAGTCCTTTATTTTACTAATACACCTTGTAAAACATTGGTTGCCTCCGTATAACACTAATCTGAAAACTGCACAGAATATTCCAATCAAACAGACAAAAGGAGATATAAAATGAGGGTAAGTCTTTAAGTGTTAATAAAATAATATTAACATATTATGCAACCGCCTTTATTTTACCTCGTATTTAAAATTTAAGGATTTGTACGTGGAGGGATCATAGATATTATGCATACTTTTATGTTTACTACATTTGGAAGGTACATGATTTATAAGATTTTCTGAACTAGAATATAATAATCAGTTGAGACTTGTGTTCTAAAAGCAATAGGCTAATAATGCGTTACTTGTTGTCTCGCTTTGCAGATAATGAGGGTGCTATGAGCGGCCATATATATAGGGAGGGAGGGAATTAAGTGCGTGAAAAGGGAACAGAACAGAACCACAGCGGTGGCGATGGTCTTATTTTTTCAATTAAGGCTTGTCATAGCATGCTCATATATGCTTATGCTTAGGCATGGTTCATTTCACCGATTCAATTTTAAAATTTGAGTTTTGCTACAGTAAAAAACTCTAAAAAATAATCATTTAATTTTTTTACTATAATTAAATTCTCACATAAAGTCACATATTAACTCGAATTAAAAACTCAAATTAACGAACTAAACAAGCCATTAGTTTATGATTTGATTCTCCCTGTAATTGCTTTATTTCTTTTGTACTTTAGTTTCATCCCTGTAATTGCGATTTTTCTGTGACGCGCACGTAGCACTTAAATATTGCACTTGTGCAGCTACCCGCGCCTAAAGTAGTGTTGCAAGCCATTTTGTTTTCACCTTTTTCTTATTTTCCACTTTGATTTGGCTCCACAACTTCATTAGAGTTTTGTTGTGGGAGATATTCTTTCGGATATTCTATGGAGTGGGTGCCTTCTTAGGCCTTTTCCCCTCCTTTCTTTTGTAGTTCTCGCGTGTTTTGCGCTCTTTCAATATATGCAGTCGTTTAACCAAAATTGTCCTATTATTACCTTCAAAAGGCAACCAAAAAAAAAAAAAAATTGTCCTATTTTTTGTTGTGCTTGCTATTGTGTTCATCATTATTAGTTGTGTGCTCACCGTTATTTGCGGAGTCACATGCATGAAAAATATACGCTTTCAAGGTCATAAGATTCTTAATAGACAATTTCATATGGGAGATTTAACGTTCATTATTTCGACCAAATTAAGGATTCGATGATGAATAACGAGTAAATTAAGGATTTGATCATTATAACTAACTTTGTTATTTGACTAATACTTCAAATTGAGGATTTGATCATGATAATTAACTTTGTTATTGATCATGATAATAACTTTGTTAAGTTGACCAAGTTAGATCTTTAGTATTAATATCCGAATCTTAGAACTAATACTTCAGTCATGTTTTCACAGTGCAATAGGCCACTTAAATAATTATCATATATCATGTATATATTATGATTCATATTGAAGAAGGTGTAATTCGTTGTATTATAGGCTTTAGCTATGTAAAGACATATAGTACTTCAATGTTCTCTCTGCTCAATGTTCTCTCTGCGGGAGTTTGATTCCTCAATGTGATCAACTTAAACAAACTCTACTCATCCTAGTTTAATTGTTAACCCTTGTTTATTATCTAGTCAAAACGATTTATTACTTTGTCTGCTAGCTTCATCTTCTTTATTAACTTCTCACACTAAATTTCTGCTTAGTAATTCAATTGGAATAAATATTTTAACAGTTACTCTAATATTTATCCATCAATGAGTATTATTATTTTAACCGTAAGATATTAATCTGATAGTTATAATTAATTAGATAGTTAATAAAAAAATTTATAACAATTAATGAGATTGATTCTTATCACACCACATCGTTAAATTTTTATATTTAAAGTGACCATTAATAGAACGTAACAATTAAAAATTCGTACCATTATTATGAAAGTAACGTTCTAAATAAAATGCGGTTACTAACCGCCGGTTAGCCTGGAAAATGAAAAACTCCAAAAGATGCGATAAAATAGGAAAACGACAGAACCTAATATGTGGAAAAGGAAAGTTACAGGATAAACGTCAACAGCCTAAAAAGAACATCCATTTTGAAAATTCGAGATCATCATTAAAACAAGAGCAACAATAAAGAACGACAACCCTTAACTACATAAATGTAAGCGACAACAAACCACATAACGACAATAAGTAAAAAAGGAAACGACAATGAATAAAACAATAAATACGAAAATATGACATTATCGAGTTGATAAACGCATTTAGGCGAATGACATCAACAGGTAAAACTAGGGGAACAAAAATTCTTACGATAGCCTGAGGAAAAAGCAATTAAAATAAAAGTGACTTAAGAAAACGACAATAAAATGGAAAAGCCATATAATCTGGATTGGCGGATGGCATAATAATACACGAATAACTACAGTCAAGTACTAGGCAAAGACAAAAACTTTAAATGAGATTGAGAAAACTAGAAGATTTTGAAAAACGACAATAAAGTTTGAAGCTATAGGCCCGTTTAGTTCGATGATTCGAGTTTTTAATTTAAGTTGAGATGTGATTTTATATGTGAGCTTTTTATTATAATAAAAATGTTAAATGTGACTATTTATGAGAGCTTTTTATTATAACAAAACTTGAATTTTAAACTCGAATCAGTGAAATAAATAGGGTCTATATATAACATACTCAAAAGCACGTCAAAATATTGGAGGCATCTTTCTTTTTGGCATTTTAATTCTTTTTTCTTTTGTTGTATATCTACTTAATAAAAAGGAAAATTAAGTTCATGACAAAGAAGTTGGGGCCCACAAAATGTAGATTATAAATTTAAGTCTCGTTCATTTCACCGATTCAAATTTTGCTATAGTAAAAAGCTTTCAGAAACAGTCACATCTAACTTTCTTCTTCTTATTTGACTTGAGGCTTGAGCAATATCTCTCTTCTTCTTCTTCTTCTTATTTGACTTGAGGCTTGAGCAATGCCAAGTTGCGAATCGTGAATGTCACATAATCGCTCACAAAGAAGATTTTTTTAATTAAATATTGATGAATATATATATATATATATATATATATATCATGATTTCAAAACCATACTATATATGAAGCATCATCGGCCACATGACTTAGCAATTCATAATTAATATTAGCATGTGGACCACTTCTACCTTTAAGAACAACTTGCATGCACATATAAGCTCACTAAAATGGCAAAGCCAAGAAAACTTGTTTAATTTGATAATCTTAGTACGTACGTAGTAATTCACTATCCTTTTCTTGATGAAGAAGACGTTTATATATATATATGTGTGTGTATATATATGTGTGAGTATATGTTCATAAGCTTTTTGGAAAACATAAATATGCAAATACAATCACAGCGTATACTGTATGCGCATTTAGTACACAAATTCTTAGTAATTTTAAGCACAATTTAATTATATTAATTCCTTGGAATTCCTAATAATAATAACTTGCAAAATTTGTCATGCACATGCGCAGTCACATTCAATTTTGGCAGCTAATTTACAGCTTATAATTCACGTGTTTTCGTTACCAATATTAATGAAAAACAAAGATAATTTCCTTAGCCATTTTGCTAGTTACCTGAACGTTTGCATTTTCCATATATACTAAGGCAATAATTCTGAAAATGCATGCACACTTTACTTTTGCTATATGTTTGCGTGAGAGAGAGAGTTTCATGAATATTGTCAATTTGCTATGGCTATTTTTGCATGTGTATGTTACATATACGTCAATTGGTTAAAGCATTTTGAAGTAAAATTGAAAAGTATACATTACCAAAATGTATGCGCAAGCTTCATATATATTTCAATTCTTGATCGTGCCTAAGGGACCACTATGTCAATTCTATAATTTATTTTCTTGTTTTCTCTTTCTTTTTTTTTTTTTTTTGAAGATATAATTGATTTCAATTGCTTTTAATTGTTCAAAAAAAAAAAAAAGCTTTAAAATTGTCACACCAGCAAATTGCACATTTCATGGTTGAAAGTTTAGAATCCAAGCAGAGCACGGCAACGAAACTACAAATGCAATGATATGTACTTTTCATTTATGTCATTATTTTCATGAAATAGACTTCCACGTTCTTCTTCAAATTAATTCAAAGTACATTAATATAATTTATTTAAAAATAAAGTACATACATATAAACTCATCCCCAGATCCACCCCCAAAATCGGAAAATAAAAATGAGAAAAACCGTGTACGTTTACTTTTTTTTTTTTTTTTGAGAAAAAAAAAAACCGTACACTTACTTGTTCAAACAAATATAGTAAGTAGAAAAAAAAAAGAAAAAAAATGAGACAAATACATTTTTAGAGTGCATGAATTTAGAATTTTACAAGTTACTTTTGATTAATATCTTTTTAGTTAAATAACTACATTAATTAAAAGGTATTAATAAAAAATAAACGGTAAAAATCAAGTCTCATACACTCAAAACTAAATTCGGTCATTTTTTCGAAATTAAAAACATGTTCATATTTTATATATACAATTTTTTTTTTAAATCGTAGGTACCATTACAATTAATTAGAAATGACTATTTCTAGAAAAAAAAAAATAGAAATGGCTATTTTTCAGCCAAAAGAAGAGAAAATATTTTATTATTTTTGAAAAAAAAAAATAGAAGTATAATTTGACCGTTGATCAGCAGCTACATAAGCGGTGACCCATCATAAGTATTCAAAAGAATTTTCTTTCAGACATTCATCGCCACTTGTATTTTTGGCCTGCCTCTCATAAAACATTGATAACTTTTTGAAAAGGTAACCCAAGAAGAAAAACAAAAACAAAAATCAGAGCAATTTAGAACGCTAGATGTATTATCCAACATTGGAAATGAATTTTAATATGCATGCATATCCAATTTTACTGACTGTAGAAAGGATTATCCAAATGCGTTTTTTTTTTTGAAAAGCAAAGGGGCTTTTAGACTAATATATATGTATGTTAGTATATATATATTTATATATATATATATGTGTGTATGTTTGTGTGTATATATATATATATATATATTTATATAAATATATGTATACACACACGTACGCACGAATAGATGACCTTATAATTAATTATCACGACGTTGATCAATCACTAAAATCGCTTGTGTGAATTTGGTTATTACTTATATTAGACATAGAAATCCACATCAGTTGCGAAGGGAAATTGAGTTAGTTCCTCAAATAATTAGCAAGGTAATAAATGTAGTTATAAACACGCTTGTGTGAAACTGATCTAAATCCAAGCAATAATAGTAATATAATAAAAAATAATAATAACTGATCTTCTTAAAAACTTGATAATTGCAGGAATTTTGGAAGTTTCTGTGTTTCGCTTTTAATTCTCAGAGCAAGTGCTTACACATTCCGGTCAATATCAAGCTTATATTGGGCACTGCACCACTTGCCCTTACGATCTTCATAGATATCTGATAGTGCCCTCCATCATTTCCATGAAGAAGACAATAACCTTCTATATGTGATATCATAATATACATACATATACGTGTATATATATATATATATATATATACACATTTATGAATGTATGTTTCTATATGTGATATCATAATATACATACATAGATATATGTATATATATATATATATATACATTTATGAATGTATGTATATGTAGTCGCGTGTCGATCTGCCGATCTAGAGATCGTGCAAAAAGAAAATAATAGTCACAAAATATGAAGAATAGTGGGGATCTAATGTCAAATCCTTTCTTTATTGGTGACCTAAACGATGGAAATTTTGAACTACAAGTGACCAAATTAACCAATAGAAGGAAAAGATCCCGACGAATTAATGATTTTTCTAAACCAAGGTAGTTGCACTGCATGGATATATACATAACTTCAACGTATTGATTTTTATTTTTGGAAATTTTGACCTCGTTTGGTAATGTTTTATCTAGTCAAAAGAAAATTTACCAATTGCGTTAAAGAAAAAGGATAAATTATTTTTTTTTTCCTGCTCTTCACATGGGTACGTGTGAGTTGGTTTTGGGGACAATTAGGATTAATCTTTACAATTACCCCCATCTTCATTTTATGCCTTTGGCCTTAATTTGCATACAATTTTACCTCTTTTGGCATGATCAATAGGACATGGAGAGGCCAGAGGAGTCCAATTGTGCAATTTGGAAGTTTGAAACTTTGGAAGTACCTTAATCTAGTGTGGTCTATGTTCCATGCGGTTCATGGAGCGAACTGAATAATTGAATAGTTCTTGATTTAAATTGGACCACCTTTTGGTGCAGGGACCTCTGTGTTGTGGTTGGGATATACCCTATAGCTATTTAAAACATTGAGAACTATAGGGACCAAAAAGGAAAAATAAAATAAAACTTTTAAAAGATAGGAGCATATGATGATTATTTGGACAACATGATACCAATGTTCCATTTCTTTTGCTCCTCATGGAGTGGGATTGTGGAGTGTAGAGATGAGAAATCTCTACCAAAATCAAAATGATCTTTCATCTCAGATTCTCCACTATTACCACCGCCATGGATGATAAGGACATTTGTGGTGCTCAAATGAATGTGAAACACAACACAACCCTTTTTCCTTTTGGTTTTTTTCCTTTTGGTTTCAACCAATATGGTAAAGAAATCCATTATCCTCAAAAAAAAAATAAAATATATATATATATATATATATATATATAATGTCAACTTTTCAATTGCAAACCGATTAAACGCCATATGCTTTTCCACTCTTCTTTTTTGAAATTCTATTTATCATGGACTCAAATAGAATAAACTGAAATAATAACTACAACCACACCTAATCGTACCGCAAAATGTTTTAATCCACACCACCAAATTCAAAAAAATGGAATAAATAAAGATTCATTTCCAAGAGGGGAATACAGCTATAATTCCCGGAGAATATGAACATCCAAGCACAGAATAAACAAATTAAAGTTGGGGAAAGTGCAATTATTCAAAAGTCATTGAAATTTATGTCCCAAACCAATATAAAGATACCTGAAATTTTCAACCCTTAATATGAATCTGAAAACCACATGTTGCCAATATTGACAAAATAACGTAAGATCCGCTCCTAAATCAGAAGAAAACGTGCCCACCAATGTAATTCATTAGTGCTATATCATGTCTTTTTTAAGTTTAATTTTAATCTCAATAGCTATAGTAACAAAGATTGAAAAAAAAAATTAATGTAACAAATTAACAACTAATCATTATTACTACCCACCCCCCAAAAAAGCAATTAACATCACTATCATTATCAATTATCTTAACCACTAATCCTATCGTCATCCGCCACTAAAAGAGCAAACTTTTATTTTCCTCCTTTTCTTTTTCTGAATATAATTACCGTTTATATATGCACATCTAAAAATTCCATTACAACACGTATATTCAAAATAATAAAAAATAAAAAAGCGAAAAAACCAAAAAGCAAAAAAACCACTAACTAATCAAAAATTCTAAAACATCGTTATCATCATCATCATCATCACCGCCATGGATGATCACCACCACATAAGGGTCAAACACAAGAACCAATCAATGATGGCGCTTCCACGTCAGCTTGCGATGACCCGACCCGGCGGCGATTCGGGTCTGGACCCGCTCGAATTCCGAGATCCGACAAGGAATCGTTATGCCGCCCTGGTGCTGGAACCCGTACTCCTCCTCGGCGTCCCTCAAGAGCTCGCTGAAGAGGGGATGGTTAAAGTAAATGACGGGCACCATAAATCTGTGAAAGTCGCCGTCTTTTTGCCCCACGTACACCGCCAGGTGACCCCTAGGGACCGTCGTTTGCTTGCTCTCAACCGGTTCCTGGCCCAGCGGGACATAACCCGGCGCGGGCTTGGCCCAGCAGAGGGATTTCGCTCCCGTCGTTAGGCGGCGACCCCATGTGAGGAGCTTCGACATGGGCTTGGATTCTCCGGCCCATGAAGACCGGCTCAGCCGGCGGTATCCCGTTCGGATTCGGGTTTTCCGAAGGACCCATTTGGTGACCCGGAATAAACGCTTTCCGAGCTTGAAACCTCGTATCTTTCTCATTTTTCTCTGTCTCAAGAAATTAAAGAGAAGGCTTAGAAGAACTTAAGAAAAGATGGGTTTCTTTTAGTGCCAAAAAAACAAAGGGTGGGCTTTGAATCTTTTGATAGAGTGCGGGGGGGCTTAGGAAAAGGGCCAAGGATCAGCTTCGGACATGGTGAGACGGAAGAGAGTTAAGCAGCCTTCAGAGAGAGAAGTGGGTATGTTTGACATCTTCTTCTGTTCTTCTTCTTCAAGTGTGATTATTCATGAAGAAGAAGCTTGTTATTGAACAGAAATGATGCTATTTTATTTTGTTTGGCTTATTACGGTGGTGGTTTTTTTTTTTTTTTTGGGAGCGGGTTTATGTGTGGATTGCTTTATAAGAAGTTCTTGGTGGAATAAAGAGAGAGACCCCAGAAAATATAAGAATTTTTTTAGAGTCAAATTGGGGTAACCAGCGGACAGAGTTAGAGAGAGAGAGAGAGGGAGGAGAGAGAGAGAGTGGAAATTTGGGATGGTCGGCACGCGATTGTTGGAGAGAAGAAAAATGTGGTTTAAATAGAGAGCGAGATTGATTAGCAAAAAAAATAAAAAATAGAGAGAGAGAGAAGGAGAATGGTCAGATATGGTGAAGTGGCTGGAGAAGATTGGCATTGAGATGTGTTGCAAACAGTCAACAAGCATTACACCGTTGGATTTGGTTAAGGTTTCATGCTTGGCGGTCACTGATACAAATGTTGGTTTTTTGATTGGGCGGTGATGGAAGCTTGTGGGTTTGTTACGTCAAGCTAGCAAATGCTTGGCGCGATGCCAATTAGATCAGAACAAGGTCCAAAATTTGACTCTAACCACGTTGGTTGAGGAATTGTTCAGACTGGACACGTACGCACAAATTAAAATAGAGGTTTCTTAATATATTTTATGTTTATTATAATTGAGAAGATTTTTTAGTACGGTATTAATAGGTTAAATTTTTTTAACCTTTAATTTACGTAATTTTTAATTTTTAAATGTTTTTATATAAATTTAATAGATAAAAAATATAATCTACTGATGTGTTGCGTATCAGGAAAGGTGTCAATTATAATTAATTATTTATTTATTTAAAGAAACAGGGAACTTTGAAGTAGTTGACGACAAAGACCTGGTCTCCTCAGGTCTACTATAGTGTTGCAGGTCCTATGTTATTATGCTACACCTGTTCTTGTGCTAGGCACGTGGCGTACATGTGGTATTTCTTTTTCCTCACTAAACAAGTTGACATCTATTTCCACCATAATTATGTGCATTACAAACTAAACAACCCCAATTTCAGTGCCCAAAATCACGGAAATATGTTTCCTCAAACAGGACAAATCATGGGGATATGTTTGCAATATTAGGCCTCGTTCGTTTTGCTGATTCGAATTTTATTACAGTAAAAAATTTTCATAAATAGTCATATTTAATTTTTTTATTATAATAAAAAATTTTCACGTAAAATCACATTTTTTTTAGTACTCTTTTATGAAGTCAGATTTGGTGTTTAATGAAAATTCATCTATTATATTGATAGGTTACTGCAACTTGTTAAGCCACTAGGTGGAAGGAAAACTGCCTCGTGACTTTTTTTTTATTACTTTGAACAAAATCCTGTAATTTCAAATGCCTACAACAAAATTTAAGAGAGTATAGTAATAATCTTTGTCGATCTTCATTGTAAGATCTTTGTGGTGAGTGAAAACAATGCAATTTAGTGATGTACTTTTTGTTAGAACTTATCCGGATCTGGCTAGTAAAAAAAAAAAAAAAACATAAAAACGTGCGCTGATGTGTTTGGCTGTCACTCAACATGTTTTGCACTCAGCGCACATGTTGTTTTTTTTTTCCCCTCATAAAGATGTCTAAAATTTAAGCCAATTCAGTTCGTTTATTCGACTTTTTAATTTGAGTTGATGTGTGATTTTATGTGAAAGCCTTTTACTGTAATAAAAAAAATTAAATATGACTTTTTCTAATAGTTTTTTACTATAGCAAAACTTAAATTATAAACTCGAATCGGTGAAATGAACAAAGTCTTTGTGTCTAAATAGAGTTTTTTTTATATGATATCTCATTATTAATGGTGTGTCTTGTGGTACTTTAAGGTACTCCTCACAATTCATAACTGAAATTGTTCGAGTATTTGTCTCAAGAATGTGATTAGGTTTAAGCCTTGGAAGAGATATTTTTGCGACATTATTCTAAAACAAACCAAAGGAAACAAGAATTGAAAGTTAATTTTATATAATCAAGCCCTTGAGATAGGATGAATAGCTTGGAGGAAATCCTCCATGAAAATACAGAACAAAAGTATTCATTAGTCGAAATAGCAACATTCAAGTCTCAAGGTTTTTCCAAACACAAACCGACTCTAAAAGCCCCCTTACACACAAACGACAACATTGTAATATGAAATGCAATAGTAAAGCTTAATATAAGAAACGACAAGGATATAAAACTAGCACAAATGATAAAACACTTACGAGGTGAGCATACGACACCTTGTTGCTACATCAATATAGTGTGTGGTTTAGCTATTACACCCTTTTGGCTAATGTGCTGCAATAATCTAAAAAAAGAAGCGCACACACAACTTCGTTTGATGCTCTAAAACGAGAAATAAAATTATAGGTAATTCAAACTCGAACCTTCATCACAAAAAAAATTTAAAAAATAAAAAATAAACTCAAAATTCAACAAAATTTTTTGAGATGTTGAAACCCTAATGGGATAGTTTATTTTAATGGTTCGTTTCTGATTCTAAATCATAATTATTTAATTATTTATAGTGTTTTTCTCTCAAAAAAATTTAAATTTTAAAAATCAGAATTATAAATTTATACCAAACGTCTCATAAATATGTATAATGTTTAACTAACAATAAATAAGTTGAACTCAAACTTTTAAGTTTTACAACATGTCTCACACCCAAGACATTCCCCAAAGATATTTTAGTTGATTATAAATTTGTAATCCACGTAAAGAGTCCAAACACATTGCATAAGTAATTGTTCAAACAATCAAACGAGCTATAATTGTCCAATTGATTGTCTCCAACTCATCCACAGCATGCCACGTAGTATTTTGACATTCAAATATTGACCAAGTTGTTTGTTAAAAAAGCTTTCCCTAGTACAATACGCAAACACCAAGAAGAACACTGAATAGTCCTTGCATATGAAACCGTTACCAAAAAACAAAAAAAAAACAAAAAAAAAAAGGAAAAAAGGAAAAACACCGCAAACTTCCGTACACGTACTCGTACGAACAAGTACGCCATTTTCTTATTATTTGAGTGGGTCCTACCGGTCGATCACTTTCTCCAAGCAGTGGGCCCCATTGGGCTACGCGTGGAAAGGAAAGATCCATAACATGGCTGCGCTGTGATATTATTGAGTGGTGGGCCGGCCCGGAAGCAAAACCGGCCCGGCATGTCACGCTTATCTGGAGGAAATAAGTTTAGGGGTCGCTTTCTCTCCCCTAATCAGTTTCTTTCGCTAAAGAAAATGCATTAATAACAAAAGGAAAAGAACAAGCAAAATTTTGAAAAGAATCTCTCATAAACTTTATTTGCCTTTCAAATTTTTGGCTATTTCTTCAAAGTAGAGGAGATATGCCTTCTAGAGACTTCAGATATTTTACCTATAAAGGGATTTCAGCAATAATCTTTAAAAAAAAAAGGAAAAAAACAAAAACTACTTAAAGGGTCTTATAACAAACTTATTATGTAAACGAGCTTCTTTGTTTTTTTTTTTTTTTTTCCCCAAGTTAGTTCACCAAGAAGTGCCACCGCCAAATTCCAAATTGATACTGAGTGCTAATATTTTTTTGAAACACATTATTTCGGTTTGTTAATTCGAGTTGAGATGTGATGTTGTGTGAAAGCTTTTTACTGTAGCAAAAAAAAATTAGATGTGATTGTTTCTGAGAGCTTTTTATTGTAGCAAAACTCAAATTCTAAACTCGAATCAGCAAAATAAACGGGGCTGCTAATCGAACTAACTAGCATCGTGTACAATAGTACAAATTCTGCGATTTTATTATTTTTCTTTTTCAGGCCCTACAATTCTATGACTTTTGAGCCTAATTTGATTGTATTACTTATCCGTTTCTAGTTTGTCTATTTACATTATTACAAGAGAATCATATTTACTCGTGACAAAACAAAAAAAAAATTTGGGGAACGAAAACATTATAGTTATCAATTATCATCGCCTTATGAATAATGTTAGAGACACAAACTCAAATCTTAATTTTAGTGTACCAACTGATGTGGCATGTGAGTTGTCATTTTTTTATTAATAAATGTTTAAAACATTACCACGTCAATTAATAAAAGATATTGCATCTACCAATAAAAAAATAATAACTCACATACCACATCAGTTGGTGTATGTCCTTAACATTACTAATTATTTATTAATTAAAAAGAGCATTGGCGTTATCATCGTCAAAACATTTCCTTTCAATTAATATAACAAATAATTAGTTTATGTGCACACAAAAAAAAAAAAAAATATGAATACGACTTCATACTAGTCTTGAAAGGACAATTTGGTTTTCATATTTTGCCCTTACTATATATTGTCGTTTGTTGAGGGAATAGTTAAATAATAAAATAAATAGAAAGCGTAGGACAAAAGTGACAATACAAAATCTGTCAATTTATCAAGGCAGGAAAAATCATAATTTTGTATTAATTGTAGTGGGACTGGGGAAAACAAAAGTGACTATTATCTCTTTCTCTCTCTCTCTCTCTCCACAATTTGCTCAAATTTTACTCCTTTCGTCTTTAACAGTGAAATGTACACATATCTATCAATAAACCATCTTCTAATTTGACTATTTTTTATACAAGTACACACACGTAAAAATGATTTTTCAACTCCTGTAAATTATTTAAAATTCCGTCAAATTAATTTGATTAAACGAAAGCGTGGCCTAACACATTTCTGTCTTTTTCATGTGTGTGTGTATCCTATAAAGCATTGCTTCTCATTGGAATAGTAAACGCCGACCTTCAAGGTTTTTAACTATATATTTATCATGACGACAAACATTAATTTTTTTATTCAAGCGGAAACTGTTGGAGATATTAAAATATTGGTTTTAGAACGACCAACCATGTTAAAGAAAAACCGCAAATTTTGTCTTGTTATACTATATATGTACCTTGTCTGCACGGAAAACGTACTTGTCATTCCTCACTTAATTTTAAGTAATTATAATCGCATATACGGACTGATAACCATGACGTTCACGTCGCCTTTTCTAATCGTTGATTTTTCTTTTTTTTATTTGTTAAGAGTATTCTCATCTAGGGTATAAAAAAGTTTCTTACTAATACATAGAATATAATTATTAACTGTAAAAGTATCAAATTGAGGTATAATTTTTTACTGTAAGATTTAAAGAGCGTTTAGTTGGTAGATTTATGTCATGATTTGAATTATGATTCGTGATTTGTTACAGTATTTTTTCTCATAAAAAAATACACATAAACTGAGAATAATTCTGAATCAT